ATAATTAAAACTCCTAAGGATTGGCACATCTATATTATTAAATACTGTGGTCCCTATGTATCTCTGTTGAAGGATGTATTTAGACCACCCGCAGCTAAAAGCATGGAAGCATCATTCTACATTATGTTTCCTGTATGGTCCCTTTGTAGATGCTACGAGACACTTTAAAAAACAGGTCATAGACTAGAGAAACTTAAAGAACTGACAAACTGATATGAAACACTAGTCTGAAAAGCTTACAGAGACAGAGATGTCATCTCCCTCAAATCATGGAAAAGCTATTAGCTGAGCTAAAAGAGGAACAAGAAGAATCTCATTGAATGGGAGAAGTTTCCAGCTGTGGAAAACCCAGGTAACAGAACGAGTCATACTTGTGTTCAAATAAAGCAAAATTCAGTATTACTAGTAAGAAAAACAGTATCTCATCCGTTTATTCCAAAGCTACTTTGCTGCCTTCCAGGAAAACAGTATTTAAACAGATAGCAGAGATAGCATATACCAAACATATTCTCATCAGAAAAGTATGAGCCAAGAAGTCCCAAGATCTTTTTAATTGAGAAAACCTCTTCAGGTTCTTCATAGAATCACAGCATGGTTTGGGTTGGAAGGGACCTTAAAGATCATCCAGTTCCACCCCCCCTGCCATGGGCAGGGACACCTTCCACTAGACCAGGTTGCTCCAAGCCTCATCCAGCCTGGCCTGGGACACTTCCAGGGATGGGGCATCCACAGCTTCTCGGGGCAACCTGTCCCAGTGCCTCCCCACCCTCTCCGGGAAGAACAACTTCTTGATATCTAATCTAAACCTCCCCACTTTCAATTTAAACCCGTTCCCCCTTGTCCTGTCACTACAGGCCCTTATAAAAAGTCCCCCCCAGCTTCCTTGTAGCCCCTTCAGGTACTGGAAAGTGCTATAAAGTCTCCCTGGAGCCTTCTCTTCTCCAGGCTGAACACCCCCAACTCTCTCAGCCTGTCCCCATGGCAGAGGGGCTCCAGCCCTCGGACCATCTTTGTGCCCTCCTCTGGACTTGCTCCAACCGGTCGATATCCTTCTGATGTCTTATCCTTCTTATTTCTCTGAATTCTTTACCTCACATTCTCTCTATTATATTCTTCAGATCTATAAAGATTTTAGGAGATTAGGAAGGAATACTAAACATTGTTATCTAATGCTACTGAGAAAATACATTAAAACATTATTAGACTATGATTAAAAATCACTTACTAGATATTCCATACTGTACTTTCTCCAGAGTGTGGCTGAAGCCTGTCATATTTAGAGAACATTCATGGAAAACTAACATTTTCTGAAGTAGAAATAAATTCCTTTTGCAAACTACCAGTGAAACTGTGTTTCAGCTACATCTGAAGAACAAAACAAAGCTTTAGAAGTACATTAAGTACTATATGCTTCAGAATGAAAATCTGCATTTGCTAAACAAAATAAAAGATTTGTGTCAGTTGATCTGGGGGACAAAGACAGTTAATGTTTAAAACATTTTATGTTTACAATATCTCAGTGAAATTAGTCACAGAATCAGTGGAATTACTTATTCACTCAGCATGTTACTTCTGAAGCAAGGCAAGTATTTCACTGCCTTTAAAATAAAAATGCTGCTCAACGTACATGGCCGGAAAGTTACGTCATCTCTACCCACCTGCTGAATGCTGTGACCAACAATTAAAAAATGATGCTGTCTGTTCTTTGACAGGCAAAAGCAGCCCTTCCATGGGGGAGAAACATGTCCAATTAAAATAATACCTAGATCTCAAAAATCCAGAAGAGTGACACAGCAGAGCATGCATTTAATCTCAGATTGGCCCAAGCCCTCCCTACGACAGAAAGCGTGACCAATGAGAATTCATTATTCTGCTGGCAGCATGCTGCGTTCTGTGGTTCAGTTAAAAAAAAAAGGTGAAAAACACATCTCTCTAAAATCTAGCATCCTCCTGATAGGCTCTCCACACGTACAAACTACACATCCAGGACAAAATCACCCAAAATGATCTGAGAATCTGAGATTCCTTTTATTGAAAGCACCTCTTGGGAGCTGGAGACAAAAAAGACCATAGGCATGTTTAATAGATGTTGAAGAGCATAACTGGACAGACATCTGTCAATGTATTGACACTGGACTTTTCGTGAGCCTATACATTCACATTTCTGATCCAATTTCACTGTATTAAAGAAAACCTATTCCAAGAGAAATTGCAATTACAGTTTTCTAATACTGAAGTATTTGAGTGAGTTCAAACAAGCACCACACAGTTGCTTTGATGAACAGAGTGGCAAAACCCAGCAGGCAAGGCTCTGATTTAACAGAGGAAATTGGAACAGTGGGACAGTAGGACTGATTGGGAATGAGGCAAAAGCCAAACCCCTCCAGTTATAAGCAGATTAGCTGTGGCTCTCCAGTTGCTGGTTGTTTATCAGTGCAATCCTCAGATCAGCAAACTTTACTGTTATGACCTGCACACCCTCTTTATTAAAAAGCAATCTTTTAAATTCCCCTTATCTACCCCAATAGGCGATTTTAATTTTTTCAAGTTAGATACATTGGTAATTTAGAGACATCTTCCTGTTGCCAGTCTATCCTGTGAAATTCAATTTTGTTATATGTTTAAGTGAAAACTCAACTCACTGAAATAGCTAGACTCGCTGTAGGAACTTAGAATTTTAAAAAAGCCAAGAATTTAACTCACCAGAACCAGCTGGAATCTTTATAGAGAAACTTCATGCACATGCACACCCCATTGCTGACTGAGCTATCAGATCAGGTACATTACCTTTCAGTTTTATTTCTCTTCCCAAATTTAGGCTGATTACGCTAATTCCAATCAGCATGAAATAAAGGTTACACACAAAGCACAGTTTCATATCCTAGCCTAATGCTATCCTTAATTGCACACTCTTAAAACTTCACTTCATGCTGCATTGGTTTTAGTAGATCAGCGTCTAATTGACATCAGATAGCTCAGTTAACTGACTTGATTTAAATTTGCTGTTATGAATTAATCAGTACTTACACACATGAAATGCATTCAGCTGAGATACATATTAAACTGTGTTAAAAGTAACTTTCAAGAACACGTTATCTGACTATAATTCATCAGTATATGCAAAGACAGTTGACAAAATATGTCCCAAGACTAGTTTCACTGTTGCCTAACTGGTTAACACATGTGAAATTACTCGTGCAAGTGACATACCTCCGAATATAAATTATGCCCAAAACAGCTTTTCTAAGGAAGCAAAAAAAAATAATGTATGACAATAAAACCTTGATAAAAAAAGTGAGTTACTGATCACCAGTTTTAAACGTACTTCATTCCAACAAAAGCTGAGATGGACAAAATGCTCCTCTCTCTAGCTTGTGGATCTAAAATTCAGTGGTTAATCAATATGCATTTTAGAGATTGAGTTCATAATATTTTGCATATACCTCCTACCTTAAAAGATTTCAGAATGGGGATCCTATTAATTTTATAGCGAGTGCAGTGTGTTCACATATCAAGCAACAGCTGTGCACATTTACAAACTCACTATGAGGGGCCCCAGGAGTCTCACTCAGAGACGGCTTGGATCACCAAAATAGTGGAAAATGAGAGAGTTGGTCCCAACATGGGCAGGGCATAGTCCTCAAAGACCAAATATTACAGAAAAACTGCTTTGGATTTGCTTCCAACAAGAGATGCACTGCAATGCAGCACCGTAAGGAACACTGATACAAAGGGTAAGGTAGGCTGGTCAATTAACAAAAATGCCATAGGAAGAAAAAGCGAGTCCGATGTTGTAAACACTGTTACGTACAAAGAAAGTGCACAACACTATCTGCACAACAACAGACTTTGCAGACCTTTTATTTGCACAACATGCTTGGACACAACAGACAGCTTTACTCTAAATCCCCTGCTTTGCTACGTGAGCAGCATCAGATTCAAAACAAAGAAATACACCAGTCACCCTGTACTAAAAAGTCTTAATCAGCATCCGGTCAGCTTGTTTGTGCAGCTGGAACTCACTGGTAAATGCAGAGCTTGGAAAACAAGCCCTCACGAAGAAGCACAGAGCTAAAACAAAGAATTAACAGCCACAACAAAAGATGTTGCAAAGCAATCCAAATTATTACTCTCCCAGCTCTCATGAAAACGTAAAGGACAAGCATTTACCACTGTAAAGCAGACATCTGAAGTCACTATTAAAACTTCAAAACAAAGTAGAACGCCATCACTTTAAAAAGGGAAAGCTACTGCAAGCAGTTAAAAGTATGAGAACACCTTCAGAATAGTTAACTGGTATTAAATTGTGACACAGACTAAATGCTAATTCTGGTGCGAGAGTAGCTCCAATTTTTAAGTAATTTTCAATTACTTAAGACTTATCTAAAAGCATGGCTAAATAGTGTACTCAGGCCCTAGTGCAATCAATAATTCAGATCAAACCAGAAAATTTATTTTTCTTTCTTCATACTATCTGGTATTACTCCTTTGTTTCACTCTGGTGAAGTGACAGATTACCTTAGCAAAGCGTTTATCCATGTGCTTTGATAGATTGTTTCTGGTGTCACTGACGTAAGTTTTGCATCTTTTCAAGCTCATTGCAGGATTTTGTCAGCCTGCGAACTACTACACACATGAACTACTTTCTTTTTCCTAGTTATAATAAAGCACGTATTTTGTGATGAGTGCTTGCATAATTATGCAGGAGAAAAACATTCAGGTTTTCCATAATTTCTCAGTGATTTAGGACAACCTACCTCATAGCCAGGGCAATGTCAACTGGAGACAGCTGTCTTGGTTATTTAGATGGCAGGATGAGTGTTAGAATTGAAGAGATGCTTTAATATGAGTTTTCACTGTAATAGTGCTTGAAACAGGGCTGCATTTTAATTACATCATAAATACACTTACATCACTTATTATTTCAACCAAGTTATTATTCACAGCTAGAAATATTTCTGAAATAAAAGAACTTTTAAGTACAGAAATTCATGCCTTACCTTGTGAAAGGCACTGATTTGCCAGAGCAACCTGTCCGGAGTGTAGATACAGATTAAGACGTGTGAAGATACTGCTCAGAGATGGAATTGTAATGAAGCAGAAGGCAACACAAGCCTAAAGCAAATAAAAGAATGACACTGAGGAAAATTCCTGACTGAGTTACAGCAATCATTACTGATTTTATACACTATTAGGAATCAAAATTCTGTAAATCAGGTTTGGGAAAGACTTTCAAAAAAAGCAAGTATCATGTGAAGACCAAAATCAGCAACTTCAAATTTACCATTATTATTTCAATAATTATAACAGTATTTATTATTAATTATTGTTATTATGAGTAGATTAGCTCTAAATTTACTCTATGGCTCTAGCTCAAAGAGTTCCTCTCTCCTCAAGTAACTTGCAGCTCAAAACCAATGTTTAACTAGAAAAGCAGCCTACTGGTCCTGAGGGACAATCCATCTGTCAAACGGTCACAGCAGGGGCACTGCACGTTTGGGAGGAAGCAGATCTAGTGCAGCATGCTGCCGCTTTAGACCGACCGGAGCAGCCCAGCCACCCGGACGGAGCGAGTGGCTGCCAGGCACACAGAACGTGGCCAGTGTCACCCCAGCCATCCTTTGCCCTGGGCATCACACACAGGTGCTGCAAACAAATATCCATGAATTAAGGGTAGCGCATGCAAACTCCCACACAACACATGAAGATAAAGACACCTCAGTTGCTATGCTTCTGGTGAGAAGAGGGGAACACAAGTAACTTGTATTGCCTGTGTGTAGTTCAAAGCTCCACTGACCCTATCTATATAGACTCAGGGGCACTAAATCTGAAGGAAGCATTTCATTTGAAATTTAAATACTGATTTCAGCATATCAGCACTGATGTTATGAGACAGAAGTTTAAATACATTCTTTTCCCCCTTTCTACCATTCTCTCTGTGACTGAGTTACACAGAAATTACTTATTTTCCTCCAAATACAATTTGAAAAGCTGTATTTTCTAGAATTCACACAAACACCTCTCCAATGAGCCTTCCCTTGGCAAGGGAGTCAGTCTTTCCGCTGTTTTTTATCACAAAGCTGCTACTAGATGCTCCGGGTTTTCTTTTTCTTTTTTCCTTAAACAGTAGCATTTGGCTTTAGAGAGTAGAGAACAGTGGTAACAAGAGAAAATGAGACTAGATTGTCAAAAAACACTAATATTGTTTTTGTAAAAATTATAAATGTCGGTGGCAGCAGACAGTATTACCTGCTGGGAAAGCAGACTCAAAGTTTATTAGAGTCAGACCTACCCTGACAAACGCAGCAGTCTTTCTGGAGTGATTCCCTTTCATCACCTTTCTTGTTTCCATTGCTAGCTGGTTCACAGACTACACATGAAAAACAAAAGCGAATTATTGAGAAAAATGCACAAATTTATTAGGTCAGCAGCAAATAACAAAGTGCATGTTTTACTGCATGCATTTAGAGAACAGAAACTGCCAAAAAGGACCCCGATGTCGTCTGCCCTCACTGTACTATTGAGTTTTTACTTGGAGAATTTTAGTGACTGTTCCTTAAAGAAAATATGACTCCGCAGGTTTGTGAAGGTAGACTCTTGAATTATTCAAGGCTTTAGATCACCCCTTGCTTCTCAGCTGTAGTGCCGTCATCACCTTCTTCCAGGCATAAAAATCAAGATTTATAGCTAACACACTTATTAAAAACCCCAAAACCAATACAATAAAAGGATTTAAGAGAAGATACAATGTTGTAAATGAATCAGATGCAGCTAATGCTCACCTGACATGGGACTCAATACAGAAAAGAGATTAACCTTCCCAATCACAGCAGGACTCTGCCTATATCTGCAGCCCAACAGTCTAATCTCTCCTAGATGGAGGATTATAGGAGAACGCAAATTCTGAATGCGCAGAAGTGCCATTTGTTTTATTACACATGAAGTCTCCTGTGAGACAGCCAGTTTTCTTTGTCATGCCTGTCAAGCAAGGACTTCAGAGAGTCTGGGGTGATAAAATGAGAGATGAAATCAAAGCCTACTTCAAAAACACCTGATAAAAAGACTTCAGACGTATTTTGACACAGACCAATAATCTGGGCAGGGAATGGAAGAACTACAGATATATCCCCATTTATTATGATAAAGCCAATAAACTGTAGCTTACATGAATCAACTGGACTAGAACAGGCTCCAGATTGCAAAACATTGACCTAGCTTCAACATAGAAACTCAGCTGCTGTTCAAAGTCACGGCCAAATGAAACCTATAAAAGACAAAAAAACACTAGATTTTACCATTGTAGGCCATCAGCTGTAAGAAAACTGCATGCAGATAAACCACATGTATTCAGAAGTCAAAATCCCCATGTATTGGTAAGACAAAGCCCCACCATTAACAGCGAACAGCACCTGGAGAATCTCTATTCTTTTAGCTGTCCGCTTCCAGTACTAAACCTGCAGGGAAACCTGAGTATTTTTGCTGGGGTTTTTTGTCCCCACTCCACATGATCTTTCTACTTCACAGATCGAGTATTTACGAAGAAAACAAAATTTAAATCCTAGATTTGAGAAGTGTTTTCAGAACTAGCAGAACTCTTGTTTCTTTATGCAACACTGACAAAGGCCTAGTACAGTTTACACTTAAAGGAGCAAAACAGAAAAAACCCAGAAACATAGAAATAGATCAGTGAATGCATTCAGCTTCCTGCAATTTCTAGTTGCTACAGGGCCTCCAAGAGAAATTAGCATTTTCCTAACTAGGAAAAGCAGGTTTTCCTCAAGTCTGGTTAATAAATATATGCTTAAGTAGTATGGCAAAAGCCTGCAACCTTGCATGCTGGCAGGAAAGAAGTCACAACCAACTCTTGTGTGAGAACAACCTACTTCCAATCCTCCAGATTTTACAGAACCAAGTGCTGTCAGCTGGAGTGTCTCAGCTGCCAATTAAAAGCCAAGCAAGAGAAACAGTCTCCAGGCAGTCTACATTTATGTATTCAAATAGAATTTTTTTTTCCTAACAGAAATAGAAGTTGCATTATTTATTATTTCTCAAGCCACAAGCAAAAGAATTTTTCCACAGAATTAAAATAAAAATTGCATTTAATCCATACAGTGAAAGATCAAAGGAACTGCATCAGAAAATAAAGGATTGCTTCTCACATTACAGACAACTGTCTTTGCCTTTCCTCTATTTATGCAACTGCTGACTCGAGACTCTCAAGAAAACTTCTCTAAAAATATAAAATATTCCACAAAAAAGCCTGACTGTAGTGATGACTGTTACAACTGCTTTTCCCTCCTCATCTTAATGTGCACTGGTTTAAAATTTATAACTAGTCATTTTGCTGCTATGGGATTCCCCCCTCCCCCAAACCATGACTATAATGCCACATCAAGTACTGTTCAATGTGAGAAATCCTCCTAAAGGAAATACAATATTATACTTCATATAGAGCTTAATAAAGCAAAACTATATTAATAACATTAAATAGCAAATTAATATAGCTGAAGAGAACCATCTAGATATAAATTCACAGAACTGCAAGAAAGAACAAAGAGGACAAGTAGAGACAAAACCTGACATCTCTGCCTCTGTGAAAGAAAAGCCAAGCATTCAGAGAATGCTTAGAGAATGCAAAAAGCTTGCGAATGCTCCTTAAAACAACCTGACATCTCAAACACAATAACAAAAGATTTTACTGGGATAAGAGGGAGGGAAGAGTTAAAAATTAATTTTGAGACAAGTGGAATTTTTGTGGGTCTACAAATTTGATGATATAAATCATCTTATTTGCAAATGAAAATAAAAAGAGGTAAGAATAACATACAAATTGTATTTATTTTGTGGAATAAATAAAGCTGCTACTGGTTCCATTGAGAGCTGGGCAGTGGAATTTCATTCACATAGACCAGTGACCTCTCTCAACCGCAAGACTTTAATTGCTGTTTAACTTTTACATACTTGCCATGTTTCACATGAGATTTAAAAAGCTAATAGAATATATGATTAAATAAAGAACATGTGCACTTTAAACTCCCACACTGCACCATGTCAGCTCCAGCACTGCATGGTACTCCTTCCAACACATGCTTACTTATTTCACTAAAATACAGTGGTTGGGGTTTTCAGCGGTCTGAAGCAAGTCAGAGAGAGTCTGACTCAGCTCCATAGGCACCTGTTTCTCATGGGGATCTCATGAAAATCCCAGCTATAAGGTACACCCCAACAGTTGCACGCAGTTGTCACTCACCATTTTTATGAATCCATTTATCAAAGTTGCTAACATTCTTTTTTCATCATCAAGTGTTAGTGCACTGTAGGAGAAAATTTATATGGTAAGTTTTAGAATATGGCTTATCTTATTTATCTGTAAAGGTTCAAATGACACATACCAATTTATATAGTATTATGTCCATTTAAAATAGTTATTGTACACTAAGACCACTAAGCTCGTAATTTTAGTTATAAAGTAATAAAACTGATTTTAATATGAACATCACCAAATCAACCATGCGCCAAACTAAATTCCAAATAAATTTTTAAAAAAATGTGAAGTGTATTTAGATTTTACAGAAACTCATATTTTGGCATGAGAAGGAAGGTAAGGTAATGTTCTCCACTGCAGCAAGCAGTCGTGTGTTACAGCATGAGAACTTGAGTAGGAGCCAATTAAAAATCTTCAAGAAATTTGTAAATATGTTTTTAGAAGTTATCCTATTTAAGTGGAAAACATTTTAAAATGCATTAACTATTACAAACATTATTTAAAGTGTATTTATTTTAGAAACAACATTAGTTTATTGGTTTGTTGGGTTTTTTGACTAACCCTGCCACAAAATTTAGAACACATCACCTTTTAAATTAATACCAACTTGTTAGTGTTGCTTTTTTGATGTTTTAGTAAGAACTGAACTAAACTGATATGTAAACAGTTTCTTTTCAGTATTATCACAGATGCCTATCCTTTAGCAAGGGTCCAAATCTGATTTGAAACAAATTCACATCACATGGAAATCCAGTAAGTCAAACCTGTTTCACTGAAAACGGACTAACAAAAAGTTAAATTCCAATTAACTAATACAATTTCATCCTTTTACTATTATATACTTGCCTCCAGCTTTGACCTTTAATGTACCAGTTACCAACTTCCTAGCTCAGACACCAGATGGGAAGAGAACAATAGTTTTGTCATATAAATTCCATAAAGGAGGAAAGAAAATCTCAGCACGATTAGCTCATTAGTGCACTGCCAATCAAAATTGCCAACTGACGGGCTCTGAAAGGCTCAGAAGACTTGTAATGAGATCTCCGGGTCAGTTATAGGTTTTCAGTTCAATTCTGAATCCGACCCCTACCAGTCTAAAGGCTGTTATCCTCCAACAGCTGTTATGGGGGGTCAGCGAGCACTACACAATGCGTTGGGAGTTTCCTGAAGCAGGATGGAAAAACAGGTGCAGAAGTTACTTTAAGGTAGTTAGAATTTATGATGATTTGCCAGTAAAAGATGATACAACAGAACCAAGCTAATGATGTACACCACCTTATCTCAGCTAAAAGAACTGCTGGTTTAAGGGACTTTAAGGATCCCAGTAAACTATCAAAATTGTTTCGGCAAAACATCAGAGGAAGTACCAAATACGGATCACCATCAACTGCTTTATTTTTTTTTAATAAGCTGTTTTAGCTTCAATATATTGTTCTATTTAAAGGTTGCATTGACTTACAGTGCAATATACAGCCAAATATGGTGCTCTAACTCAAAATAAATCACTCCAGCTGGTAAAAATTGGAATTACATGCTAAATCTGATATTTTTACTAGCAATAAATCTTGCATTCACGGCATATCAAGGCTGAGAAAGTTTGAAGTTCCTTTACAGCATCTGTCATAATACGAGGCTCTGGGCTCAAAGTGCCAGAAGAAACCGTGCCCTTACAATTCTACTCAACCCAAAGCTGAAGAAAAAAGGATGTTGTTGCTCATAAGGTCTAAAATTTCCAGAATTGTGATTCTGGCTTGATTTTCAACCAGACACAGATTTCTGTGAGAGTTCTGCAAGTTACCTACACACCACAACTCTCTTCCACACTGCACAACTGAATGTGATGGAAGCCTGATTTACAAGTATCTGGCAAGTACTCTAAGACACTCTAGTTCAAAGTACTATAAAAAATAGAAAGAAAATTGTCATAGCCCAAGTTTGGCACGCGTCCCCCATCTTTTTTTTTTCCCTATTTATAAATCTGTTTAAGACAAATATTAACAGAAATTATAGGTAGACTGTCAAGTCATAGTTTTGGAGAACCTGGCACAGCAGAAAGCATTTGGCACAGAAAAGACAGAATGTCCTGACCTGCACACAACTGCTATTCAAACCACGAGCCTGCAACAGGGCACCCAGGATCCCTAAGAACCTCAGCACTCAAAGTCAAAGGGAAAAGGGAAGAGGAACATTTAAGGAAAAGACACAGATGGTTCAAGCGCTTCTCCTCTGTTCTAGCTTCCCCTACTCAAGTTCCTAGAGATCTTCCAGGTGCCCTTTTATAGACTCCACACCCCTTTGTAATGGCTGAAAAAAGTGGCCCAAAAGAAGGTATAACAGAGTATGGCAATCTGTGCTTGAATGGCTACATATTCACTTCAATCTGAAAAATAGTTCATTATTCACTATGACTCAAAGATTTCATTGGTTTCACTCTCAAAAATATTTTTAAAAGACTGGATTGTTCAATGTCTCTACTTCACTAGAAACTGTAAAAAAAGCCATTGCTACTTTCCTTTTAAAATTCTGCTTCAGTCTTCAAAATAAAGCACTAATTAAAGAGCAAATGGTACATGCTGCCACTCCACTGCACAGCTCTTCCCTCACCACTAATTGGATTCATGTCTTAATCCACCATGAAACACACAGCCTCAGAAGCGTGAAACTGTACACCCAGCAGCCAAACTTTGCATAAAAGATAGTAAATAATATGTTAAAGTGAATCTTACTTCACAGAATCATGCATCGTCTTGCAGATATGCAGAAGAGCATTGAGTATAACAGGATCCTTTTTTTTTGATGCCTATAAAATATTTTAGAAAAAGCGATGAAAAATTCTGCTCTGCCAAAATGAAAACCAGTGAATTTAACATCTATTTAATGCATAATTCCAATCAGCAGCATTGTATGACACTGCAGAAGTTTCATATTCATTTTTCAACCAAGAGAACTCCAAAGATCACATGGCTAATTGATGTACAAACCCAACAAATGCCAGCCAAGAAATATTATCCTAATATACAGTGTTTTACTGCCAAGCCACAGAATCTGACTCCTTAAGGGACACAAGCTAGACACGTGATACACTGAGGCAAACTAAGAACCTCAAAACAACAAAACCCCAGATGTGCCAAGAAGTAATACAGTTTCTCAGCTACTGAGCGTCAGACAAGAAGGATGAATGTCCCATTTGGCTACAGAGGCCCACACGCACTGCAGCACCTCTGAGATGATTGAGGGGCTGCAGCATCTCTCACATGCGCAGGCCAAGAGAGCTGGGAGCCTTCAGCCTACAGAAGAGATGGCCTGGGGGGACTTAGCAGTGTATATAGATGCCTGAAGGGAAGGTGAAAAAGAAAATGTTTCAAGAAACATGTTAATTACTTGAAAAGGACTGTTTGACTTTCGCAAAATTTAAAATATGAAGCTTCATTTTCTAAGTTCACTTTCAACTGGGAAATGTCCGTTTTTCTACATAATGGAGCTTTTAACAAGAGACTGTCTCTCTTCCTGCACTACAGCAAGGTAACAGTTCTGTGCTCTCACATCAGCTGGAATATGAAATAAATTTCATAAACCGACGAAGGCAACATAAATTTTAAAAGCCCAGAGAACAACTATTCTGATAATCCACAGCAAGTCAGCATCAATATGATCACCTGGATTTCAGATTTCTTCGTGAAGGATTAAACAGTCAATCAACAGATTAACAAAATTGACACATTTTATCTTTTTTCCCCCCACACCCTGGAACACCTCCAAGCTAAGTGGCCTATATACTGACTCATCTTTCCTACCAATCTTTCAATACATTCCCCAGATCCTCCAGAGTGCATTTAATCTGAATATTCTCCACTTACTTAATAAAAGATTCCATAATGCATTTGCAAACCTCCACTCTCACACTTTCTTTCTGGAACATATCCAGAAATGGCAAGAATTTCTCCTGAAAATAAAAATACATAAACAAATAAACCCCAGTATTTTATAAACAACACACTAAAACACTTAATATATTTGATAATTTTATAATCATAGCTGTTTTAGTTTAAAAAAATTTTATCTTTTTTGAAGACAGTAATTCATCTTGAAGGATAAGAGAGTGAAACTAATGGAAAAGCACTGGTGGCTGAAAGATTATCCACTTATTGACTGCAGAGATCCAGGAACAAATAAAAACCACAGAACTGTTTGAATCCAATGTTGCAAATTTTTTGAACTTAAAAAATTAATAATCATGTGCTTGAAACACTTAAGGTCATGACAAATTCAGACATCTACAGGAACTAATGGTAGGATATTAAAACCGACAAAACCAGGCCAAACACTAGCAACCATTCTGCACATGCCCAGGGCAACTTATGAAGGTCAAACATTCAAATTTTCTTCGCAGATAAGGTTTTAGGTTGTTAAGGCACTGAAATACTTTGTTTCTGCATAATCTCAAGAATATAGTGGGGGTAATTTTTTCAGAATTATTTGAGCAATTTGTGAACAAGACTTGACTCCAAATCCACAGGGTCAGCCTTGAATTCCCTCTTCACCTGGTTTCAGTACGTTGACACCCACTGTCTTTGCTCCTCTTTCCCAACCTCCTATACAGTCCCTGACCTTTCCAAGTTTCACTTTGTTTCAGTGGTAAATTAAGCCCTATGCATGTTAAGTTTCTGTGATAACATACAAATAGATATCAGCAATTACACAAACACACACAAATGGTATTTTATCTTCCAATGACTGTCACTTATGCCACAGTAACAAACATACTTAGAGATTCTAAACAGCGTAAGGAAGAAAAGTATAGAAAAACAGAATTAGAATAGCACATACTTAAGCAGCAGACAGCTTCCAAAACGTTTCTGCACTTATCTACCCAATAAAATATCCTCTCACTAGGTAAGCCAGCAAAGAATCTAAATGCCCAGGTCAGGTAAATTCTCCTGCAGAAAAGAGTGCAAAACAGTTCTCCCTAAAATTATTTTTAAACAGAGTATCACTTACCACTGAAAAAAGCACAGAGAAGTCATAGATATAGGTAATAACTTTCCGAATAATCGACTGCAGCTAAAGGAGGAAAAAAAAAGCAAGGAAAAAATTATTGCAATACAAGTTAAACTAAGACTATCCACACCGGAGATTATTCTTCCCTAGTTAGGCATAGAAAACCACGCTGGAAGACACTTCAAGCATTCATCAATGTCATTTCTTTCCTCAAGGCAGAATCAGCTACAGCTGTGCTGTTCCTAACAGATGTCTCTTCAAGACTCATATGAGCAGAGGCTGACCAATCTGCCCAGGCTTTGTTTGTTCTTTACGTTTTATAGCTAGGAACACTTTTCCAATTTACAGTCTGCACATTCTGCAGCTCGCTACACTAAAATAGACAAACAAACCAACCCAAACCAGTTTGTTAAATCTTCTTTTGTAGGTACTTTATCTACCCTCCAAGTAACAACAAACACCTTCTTCCAAACCTCTTCAACTAATCCATATAATCATAGAGTCGTTTGGGTTGGAA